ATACGTAGTAATTGGCAGTTTATAACTTGATAAAACGGCCACAATAATAACACAGTTGAGACAGATGAGACAATTTTACTCGGGAATCGATCATTAAACGAAAATTTGATTGATACAATTTTGATTGAAAAATTATTCTGATTAAAGTACTCAAAATTAACATCAAATAAATTATGGTTATATACAATGGTTGTTTCAATCGATTACTTCAATCTGCTTAATTATACATTAATTAATAATTAATTTTATCGATCGATTAAATTATTCATGATAGCATCTATGACGATTAATTAATTTCGATTGGTGATTTGCCGATTATTTTCGTCAACCAAGATTTTAATCGATTAATTGCCTTAATTAATTCTCCATAATGATGCGAAAGTCGAAGTCACTCGCGCTGCTGAAGTTTATCGAAAAATTCACCGAAATATCTCGCACGGCGTTTTTCCCTCTGCGAGAAAATATATTTTGGGAATTTGTCGGGTGCACATGCACTCGACAAAGTTTCAACTTGACGAATCTCACTGTAAATAAGCATTCCTGTTCGCGTCTGTTTGCCTACTGAGAAGTCTGCGAAGTACCGAAACTACGGCGTACCAGCGAGTGTACGCGTATACTCGACGAATTTCCAAGATCGATTTCCTCTAAAGCCGAAGCCCCGCACGAGCGAATCCCGCGTTTCGCGTTTCCAATTTCTTCTCCCCTTTCCGGATCAGAACGATAATTGTTTGGCAAGGAGCGCGCGTATGCGCGAGAAAAAAAAAACCGGGCGAATTTTAAGAATCGTCAAACACAACAAGGCTGCGAACTCTCATGCCGCCGCCTCGATTCTGTTAAATCGCCCGTGAATCGCGACTCCGGCTCCGGTTTGCCGCCACTTACCCTCCAGACCGCCAAATATTAGCACGAGGTCATTACGTAGCTCGAATCCGCGGTTCCATCTCGCAAGGTGGGAACAAAGATCCTTTCAAAAGAGCGCTCCATAGCAGAAGGGTGCTGGGTTTCGGGTTTAGATGTAAGTGGAAGGGGAGCAACTCGGGTTTCTTTGTGACCTCGCCTCCGACTCGCCTAACCCCTTGTCATGTCCATTAAAGCCGGCCTGTGGCATCACGTATACCCTCAATCTGAGCAGCACCGCCGCCGCCGCGATCTAACCCACCCCCGTCGTCAACCCCCGGTACGTGGTAGAATTTCGCCGGCGAGCGTACAGAGCGTCGGACTCCGCAGTACGGAAGATGTATCGCTGTTATGTGAAAAGAAGGAAGAATCCTTAAGGGCGCGCATCCACGGCAGATAATTCCGCGACGGACGGGCAGGAAATTTCCCGGCAGCTTTGACACACGACGTCTCGCCACCGTTACGTGTCCTTTTCTGCTCGTGAGAAAGCGCGCGTTTTTATTTCTCCGTGAACGACGGAATCCGCGTGGACTCTCCGAACGTTCTCGGCATGAGCGGCACGCTCGAGATCGTGGCTGGTACCTTCTAACTGCGAGATACTGAGCAGCCATTGAAGAGGCCGTATACGTTATTCAAACAATAAAAGTTTAATAGGGCGCAGCAGTGAGAAGTGCATGCCGTATGTGGAATAAATTGTCGTGAGCTCGCTCTCAAAAGAGCATCTCGCGAGTAAGGAATCTCTACGTCTGATCCTCAATTACCAAATGACCAGCGACAACAAACATTTCGATGATTGAATTTGTTTCTGACTTCGAGATAATGAATTATAAACACTTCGCAGGAAACTTTCCAGAAGCTGTTTGTACGCTCAGTACAACTTACAGGGTAAAATATAAGTAGACGCGGTGATTGTTTAGATAAATTATACATTCCGAATCTCTTTGATCTTAAGATGCGTAAAAAAGGAAGCGCAAAAAAATTTTCGAGCCACCTGTACTTACACTCGCTTTGAGATATGGCGGTTTTTTCTTTATTCTCAACATGTTTCTCTCCCTTTCTTTGCGTCAACTTGTGTTGTTATTTCAGGACACCGCATCCTCTTTTTACTTCTACCTCTTCTCCACGCTCATTTCTCGTTTGTTCGGGATATCTTTGTTTGCTGTTTTACGAGTGTGGTTTTCTTGATCTTTGAGCGCTCCACTCGCGGACGCAATTCCCATTGAAAGCGGGGGAATAAATCAATCGGACGCAATGCAATACGAGGATACGGCGGCTTTCTCGTGCTCTCTGAAGATTTATCCCCTTCCTTCCGGTGCAATCTACGTTTTCCAGCCACGCCGCGTGCATCGCGATATTTTCAAGAAAATCCCAGAAGTTTCCTCGAAGTCGTTCGTTCTTATTGCGCCACGAATGTTCCGCGCTTTGCACATAGGATGTTCGATAATATACACGCCCGGCAAACGCGACTCATGATTCTCATCGTCCGGAAACTGGAATGATCTTTCCGCTGTTGAGATTTAACTTCCTTTAAGACAACATCTCGCTCGCAGTTTGGGAAGATGCCGTATATTACAGATACGAGATAGAATTCTGTCGATTTTGTTGAATTCAAGAGTGCGTGCGATTAATTAAAAATTAAAGTAAAACCGAGATAAAGTTGAGATAAAATAAGAATGAAATTTTTTTTTCGCCAGGGAAAAAAACGGTAGGTAAAAGTGCAGGTAAAAGCTTGCTCGTCTCTTCGTTCCTTCGTTCGCTTTGTCCGTTCCTCGCACGAATGTTTTCTAATCGAATAAATAACTCGAACTTTTAGTCGCACTTTAATCGAATAGGTAAAGAGTCAAATACATAAATCGATTAAATACCGATGAAACGAATCGTATCTCGTGCTGTTGAGCGTTTTCACAATATTTAGAAACAGTCGAGCGAATGCTCCTTTAATACAGAGACCGAAGGATAGCATGCGAGAATCCCCAACAGGGTCAGTTGTCCTATTGTGAACGATTCACGATCTTCCTTCGAGAGAGGACTGCTTTCGTCCTCCTTTCGTCCTTCCTCAATGTTCCTATATAGTCTTTACCGCTCGTATATCGGCCTATAAAATTTGACATCCGCCCGTTCCTCTTATCCTCCCTCATCCGCGCTCCCTTTTAAACGCAACTGGAATGCCTTCGGTCGGATAATTAATTTACAAAGCGCAACTTTCCGTTAAAAAACGGCGCCAACGACAAGAGCGCTCCGAGCGAACACGGGGAAAGTTCCGGCGGGACGTTACGCGATTCCTTTCTTTCGCGGAATTACGAAGAAACTCGCGATGTAATAATATTCCACGAAGCAAACTTGGCATTGTTCGAGGAATGTCGGGCCGGCGACGGGAGGCGAGCGCGAAAATAGCGCGACGGTATGCGAGCGCGCCGTAGCCTCACCGCGAGCGATTTCTTCACCGGCTTCGCCGGCTGATGAGATTCCGGACGGGAAGTCGGATTTTGCATTGCGAAGTTTAAATAGTGATATTTACCCCCGTGTTGTGTGGGCCGCCACGCCCGACCTTTAACTACGAGTTAACTGCGCTTTTGTGCACAGCGCGTGGGTGCAACGGGATGCAGAGACTGAGCGAGTTGATATGTACGACGCCCACCCCTCGCGAAGATTCACGACTCACCCCTTGGTACATTCTCCCTCGTAATCTCCCCTGGTTCCACGCTGCTGGCGAAAATTTAAATTTCAGCATTTCCATCCGACAACCTTCTGATCTTTTGCTCTCCCAACTTCCCTCCCCCCTCTCTCTCTCTCTCTCACTCTCTCTCTCTCTCTCTCTCTCTCTCTCTCTCTCTCTCTCTCTCTCTCTCTCTCTCTCTCTCTCTCTCTCTCACTCACTCACTCTCTCTCTCTCTCTCTCTCACTCACTCTCTCTCTCTCTCTCTCTCTCTCTCTCTCTCTCTCTCTCTCTCTCTCTCTTGTTCACTCTCTTGATAGGAGAGCTCATCAAAAATTCATAAGCACGTCAAGCAGACTTTAAAAATGTAAACACTTTAATCCCGTGTCCGTAGTAACATTTTCAGCGAATCTGGCTGCACAAAGCGGAAGCTTTGATGGTCGCGAAGCGACTCACGTCGGCGGGATTAATTGTCCATCGATTCCCAATTTAATTACTTGGCGCGTGTATCTGTAATTGATAAGACGAGCGTTGTTACCAACTCGGATTCTATCCCGATACACAAGTCTCTAATCGGCCGATCAAGTGTCTCCAATAACGGAGCTCAATTTCGCGCTTGGATAGTTCAGCTCGTGGAGCAAAAGTTCTTTAAACATTAAATAAAAATTTAACTCGCGCGGCTGGTCTTCTTTGTACGCTGAGGGAAAAAATATCCATAAAGTAAAAAATATCTGAAAGAGATATCTAAAAGAGAGAATATCTAAAAAGTAAGAAATAATTATTCGGGATTAGGTACTATTAATATATTTATATTAATACCTATTCTAATGTGCACATTTTTATTGCACACTAAAACATATATGTCTTTGCATCTGGCAAAATTTTTCTCAAACGAACAGATACATATTTTTCTAAAACCATGACTTTTTATGAAAGCAATTATTTATCTATTCTATCTATTCTGTTTATTAAATAAAAAAGTTTAAATTTAAATAAATATGTTACCAGTCACACATATCGAGTAAATATATATATATTTTTTTTGGTATTTCTTCTCTCACTCACACATGTACATTCGTCTGCGGAGCGGTCCGAATATTTTTTTTCCTTTGACACGCTTTGGAACGCGGCCGACGTCCAACCGGGAGAATTCGTTTCCGAGCAATTTCCATGAAATATATTTTCTCACCAAATGTTGGATACGTTTCCAAATGTGTGAGAACGTGTGTTGAAATCGCAGACGAGTGTACGCACGTAAACACATCCTTTCCAGAATTTTCGTCACATCGCTGACTTGTCTCGTCTTTTATTTCGTCGATTTATTAATAACCCTTTCTCGCCGGAATCCAATTCGGAACTCACTTTGCGACGGTCGTAATCGCTGTAATCGCTTTACCGTGTAACATCCCGCCCGACGAAAAAATTGAATCTCTCCACTCTCGAGCAGGTTTTCACCGGCGCGGCAACGTGTTTCTACGCCTTCATAGGCTTCGACATAATAGCCACCACTGGCGAGGAGGCGACGAACCCGAAGAGGAGTATCCCTCTCGCCATAGTCTCGTCGTTGATCATAATTCTCGTCGCTTACGTCACCAGCAGCATGATGTTGACACTGATTGGTGAGTAGACCATTAACGATGGTCGTCGGTCGTTGTTCGCGCTTCATTAGTCGAAATGCGTTTAGGCAACTTGCGCGATAATCATCCGCACGGATGGTTTAATGCCTCTCTCTCTCTCTCTCTCTCTCTCTCCCCCCCCTTCTCTCTCTTTCCCAGCCTCCCTCTCTTTGGATCTTTGTCATTGCAGTACGTACGTATAATTTCGCGCTGGCTCACTAAATTCGGATATTACTATTATCGCACGCACGGACGGTAAGCGGCTTGAAAGCTCTGCCTTATCTCTTTGTAAGCACTCGATGACTCGCGGCCGAACGGCTAGCCCGAGTCGAGTTCCAGCACGTCCCCAATCTGGACTATTTCACCATTCCCAGCGTAATGCTACTTCGCGGGATATCTGGGAAACGCGATGTGTGTGAGAATGACGCCAGGATGAAGTTATTACGAAACCGTCATTTCCCGCAACACAGGACTCGGGATCGCTCGCATAGAAAATTTCTCAGGATCTCTAATTGGGATTTTCTCCGATTTCCCGAAGCCTACTCAGACGCAAGGTTGAAGATGCGATGTATACAATTCTACGCGTGGGAAAGGCGTTGAAGGAAAAACGATTCTCCCAATACTTTCTTTGCTTTCCATCTCACGTTAGAATTTGATTTCTTATTCTATGACAAGCTCACGAGTGAGATTCTGCTCAATATTTTATATCATTCGATATTAAACTATTGAACGCACAACAGTTGATGTGAAAATGGAATTTCCTGTTTGATCGTATGTATTACTTTTTCCTTTTTCCCTGAAAAGTATACCGAGATCTCACCGGCCGAGAAGAAGCGTGAGTTCCCACAGTATTTCTTGGCTTGTTCGTCTTCGAACAGAAGTATAGTGTACACTGTCGGAATTTGAAAACAATCAGATACACAGTTGAAACTTGGGGGGGGGGGAAGAGGAGAAAAGAGCTGCTGCGAGCCAAGTCGAAAAGGAAGCGATCAGGGAAGTTCCAGCGAATTGGGAGGAAGAGTTGAAGAAATGCTTTCAGTCCAAATGAGTGCTCCTTCGCTGTTCCCTCATCGTCCGCTTGTGCATTAAATATCCCAACAGCTCGCGGCTAACTTCCGTTTACCTCGGCCTATTTTTGCAGAAGACACCTTGAGTGCTTTCCAGACATTTGCTTGCCGCGTTGTGCATTTTATAACAATCGGATTATCGGTCGGAGGAGTCAAGCTTGGCAACCAAGGGGAAAAATGAGAGATTTTCATCGGGGAGTCCACGCCGGGAAGATCCTGAGAAATTTTTACGCGGGGCGAAGCTGTTAACACATCGCCGAGTGTAATTCTCGCTGGGTGCCGCGCCCGCTATGCGCTATTGTTGCCTTTCGCGTAGAGTCGATAGTGTCGTTGCGTCGTCGTTGCCAACGAGCGAAACATCCCGATGTCGAATTCGCATCGGAATCAGGCGGCGCCTCGCGAGCGAACGGAAAGGGCCGCGTATTCCGACGCGTGTATTCCCCGTCACGTACTCGTCCCGCTTCGTGTTTCAGTTCCGTACGACCAAGTCGATCAGGACTCGGCGTTGGTGGAGATGTTCGGTCAGGTCGGGGCCTACAAGTGCAAATACATCGTCGCGGTCGGCGCGCTGGCGGGCCTGACGGTCTCCATGTTCGGCAGCATGTTTCCGATGCCTAGGATAGTTTATGCGATGGCGCAGGACGGCCTTATATTTCGGTAATGAGCAGTGCGGAGTGTATGTACAGTTGCCGGGAAGTTGGAGAAGCCAGCGGTGACGAGCAGGATGATCGAGTGGGCCGCTTTAATGAACGAGGCGTATTTTGCTTGCGCAGGAGCCTCAGCCAAGTTTGGCCGGCGACGGGCACGCCCGCATTCGCGACTCTCACTTCCGGCATGTGCGCCGCCTTCGCCGCGCTGCTGATCCAGCTGGAGGTGTTGGTGGAGATGATGTCGATCGGTAAGACACCGCGATCCCACGACTTCTATTCCGATCGGGGCCGAGAGATCATTCACCGGTATCTGTGTGTACTTAAGGAACTGTGTAGTCCAACACTTACACCTCTCTCAGCTTCTGAGGGATTAGCCTGGGGATATCGGATACCGTTTTTTGTAATAATTTTCTGCGCTTCGAGGCGCACGAATCGATCGACAGCATTTTTCCGTCCGTGCGACAGTCGACAATCGGTAGCGAGGAAAAATCTATTCGCGAGGAGGTCTCAGGAGACGCGAGTCTCTCGGCTTTCGCGCGCGGATTCTTCGCCGTCGAGTCGCGAATCCTGAAGACTTCCACAGCGGAATTTTCAATCGCGAATCGTCACCACCTGGCACCGTAGGTACCTTGCTGGCGTACACCTTGGTGTCCACCTGCGTGCTGATACTGCGGTACCAGCCGCACACGACGAATTTGGTTGAGCTGCTGCCGCAGAGCCTCAGGACACCATGTCGATCGCCCACTAAGGAGACGCAGGGGAACGGTCAGGTAGCTTACGGCAAGGAGCTCAGGCCCGATCAGCTTACGACCGCGTTGAATTCGGTCCAAACGACCCAGTCGGAGCTTACGGCCGCCAACAACGGACAGCGTATCACGGTGAGACGGCTGCGAATACTCTTTTTCTCCGGTCCCCCCCCCCCCGCCCCTCCTACCCGCCCCCTCCGCCGTTGTGCCATTGACCGGGCGTATCTCACGGCACTTTCATTGTGGCGAGGAAATGAAATTTTCCTCGCCTCGTCTGGGCTCCCTCGTTATTTATGAATGTTTGTTCGTATTCTCCTTCTCTCTCTTTCTCTTCGTTCCGTTAATCCTTCGTTTCGTTCCGTTGATATTTCCTTTCTTCGTAGACACACCGAGCCGGCGGCTCGCGCTTAGAATATCGCTCCTGGGAAACTTTAGTCTTCCCGATGACCGTTTTCTCTCAGTCGGATTTATTTCCCTGCGTGGAGCGCGACGCGACGTCGCGGGACGAAATGTTCAGCTACTACTTGATCATCATTGTTTCTAATTGAAATGTACTTTTTCTTAGAGGGAGAGATCTCCAATTTTGGATGTTATTTGTTTCCTTTTTTATCTTTTCCGTGATCACGTCGGGACCGTCCGAGTTGTTCGGCACGTTCGGCGTGTGCAAGTGGAGCGAGAGACGGTTCGCGATGCGCGACGAGATGACATTTACCGTTGCAGGTACGCCGGGTGAGGAGATGCAACAGCTCGTCGCCGGACTCGGACGACACGTACGGCGGCGAGGAGGACGAGGTGGGGCTGGGTAAGGACGATCAGTATCTTGTCAGTGACAGAACGGAGAATAAGTTCTATGGCAGCGTGCACGCGGCCGCGGCGGCCTCGAGTTGCGGTAGCGCTCATCAGTATCCCGGAAACACGCCGATTATAGGACCGCCGTTAAATTATCTACAGCGTCGGCTGCAGGTAATAATCGCAGGGCTCGCGAGCTCGGAACCGAGGATCTCGATGGAATAAGGATCTCCGCGGTCGGCCGTGACAAATTGGAGGGAGGACGGCGTTTCGTCGGGATTTATTAGCGATGCTGACAAATAATCGCGTAATTCAGGACGAAATGCCGCTCGATTCCTTAACCCTTTGAGGCATAGTGGTAAGTATACTTACCACCTATTTATTCTCACATTTTCATGAAATATTTCATATTTGAGGGATCCTTGTCGGGTTTCTTGCGTTTTTTAGCCTTCTTGTGTGTGATATGGGAAACATACATGAAAGGTTGGAAAATGTTTTGCGTAAGTTGTCCATTTATGATAAATCAACAGAGTGTGAAAAATACACATTTTTACAGAAAAAAATCATTTTCCACGAACCATGAGTGAATTTTTTGCTCAAAGTCAAGATTTGGGGGTTTCTTGGGTCGCTGATTACGAATCTGAGGTTCAAATTCCAAAATTAATCTTCCAAGATGACGGATTCAAGATGGCGGATCATAGAATTTTCATTAAATTAGCTAAAATTAGCTACTCTGGTTAGTTTTTGAGGTCGCTGATTACGAATCTGAGGTCCACATTCTAAAATTAACTTTCCAAGATGGCGGATTCCAGATGGCGGATCATAGAATGTACATAAAATTAGCTAAAATTGTACTCTGCTTAGTTTTTGAGCTCGCTGATTACGAATCTGAAGTTCAAATTCTAAAATTTATTTCCCAAAATGTCGGATCATAAAACTTTTATATGATTAGCTGAAATTGTACTTTGGTTAGCTTTCAAGGTTGCTGATTACGAATCACCGATGTCATCGAAATTATCGCGATTTTTCATAATTGCGCCCGCCATCTTGGACCCGCCATCTTGAATTTCGAAAATCTGACAACGGATTCGTCATCAGCGACCCCAGAAAACCCCGTGTATAAATTTTCATGTGATTGGGATTTTCTGAAAAATACATGCCTCAAAGGGTTAAAGCGCGTTTTACACCGCATGTTCTTATTTCGTCGAGCTCCCGGATTCGTCTCGCGACGTATAGCGGGATAGCGGGAGGTGCAACGAACGTCGTTACCGTGAAAAATTCTCTCCTCCCTTTCTCCGCCTTTTCTCTTTTGTTTTTAATAAATCACGATGCCCTCCCCAGGCGGCGCAATATCTTTGTCCCGCTATATTCCCGTGGGTGGATAGAGGTCCCGCGACGGAAGCGTCAGGACGTTACGTGATGAAGCTCGTCGGGGTCCTGTACTTGTTGATCCTTATCTTCGACCTGATAATCGTCTGTGGGATGGGTGAGGAAAAATCGCGCTGTCTCTGTGCCTCTCTGTATTCGCAAAACGAATTAACACCCCGGTAAACGTCAATAACGTTGACAATAACGTTTCGTCAGTGTTATGATTTCCCGCTCGAGGATGTAATTGTTACGCGCACTCGGCGGCGGAAACGGTTTAGAGACGATGAAACAATGAAACGCGGAAAATTGTCACGACCGAGACTATTGACAGCAGCTTGAGCGGTAATTAATTGTGACAGGAGCCGAAGGGTGACAGCACGCAGTGAAACTTTATTATACTCTCATCGGATACGCAATAAAAACACTTGAGCTTTTTCCTGAATCTTCAGTTGCTCAAGCTCGCCCGCGGAAGCTCTCAATCGCGGCAGCTTGGCGAGCAACTTTACTTCGTTGGGTTTGAACCGTTTTGTGCAGCCGAGTGTACAGTCGAGTGATTAACCCTTTAACTGCTGAGATATTAAATGACCAGTATGGCCCTCTTTGCTGAGTTATTTTTATTAATTATAAAATATTTTATAATTTGCTGATGATCCAGATTTTCACAAATTCACATTTTTTAATTTTAAAAGAATACCACACGCAATACCACACACATTGAAAGTATCCAAATCGAGTAAACTCGACCGTAGCAAGGCCGCCATTCTTCTCCACACTCGAGTTATCTCGACCGTAGCAGTTAGAGGGTTAAAGGTCGCGAATCTTTTTTTCGACAAGCGTTGCAACGCTTCTCGTATCCGACGAGGAAGTGCTGTATCTCCTGAGAATTACCAAGGGAACCAAAACTCATGGCTCAGAAAAGTGTTGCAATATTTAATCAGTCGACCGTGCAACGTGCGTTACGTAAGTAACTTACATCGCAGAGTGGGAAGGTATAACGTTGATGCAATGTTAGCGTGGTGTGGTTGGTGTTTACTGGGATGCCTCTTTCATCGTATTCTCCACGTGTCTCTCCCTCCTGTTTCAGGTAATATGGGAACGTTCACAACGATATTACTGTTTGTCTTTCTATTCGCCATAATCGGTGTACTTCTCGCCATCAGTAGAAAGCCGCAAAATAGGTATGACGCTATTCAGTCGCACTTCATGTTCGCGTAATCCGCGCCTCACCCGACGCGATCCTAAATGTGGAGCAGTTTAAGGGGATGCTACTAACTGGAAAGCTTTATCGACGGGATTTTGGCTGTTTTTCACAAAGTCCACGTTGTATTGTTTGCGCAGAATTACAAGTGCATTCGCGCAACGAAAATACACGTACGCGCGGAACTGAATTGGCTCGGTACGCGACTAAAAAGAATAAACAAAAAGTTTTGAAGTTGACATCTTAAGCTGTCATTTCTCTGACACAAACCGAAAGTGCATTTCCTCCGTTCAGGAAAGTTTCAAACAACATTGTTTACCTTCACAGCTGAATTTAAGGGCTTGAAAGTACACGAAAAGTTTGCAGAAAGATTTCTATATACGCTTAGTTAGGTCCTTCGCTAGACGTAATAAAACAGAGCAGCAGGTAAAGCAGAAGTATGAAAAAGGCACAGCCTAGGTGACAGCATGATCAGAGTGTCAGAGAGAGATAGAGAGTATTTATTTGATATAACGTTTGGACGATCGCTTCTACTTTATCGATGTTTTAGGAGCTCGTCATCGCCCACTTTGACATTCTCTTAACGAGCTAACCGCCGATTCCGGCGCTCTCTCTTTTGTTTTAGGAATAGCGTGATGTTCATGACTCCAGGCTTACCGTTCGTCCCCGCGATTGCCGTTACTGTCAACATCTATCTCATTTTCAAGCTCAGCATCTTGACCTTGGTCAGGTTCACGATCTGGATGACTCTCGGTACGAACTGACAACTTTTGCACTTTCAAAATTTCCAGTTATTTATACATGCCTGGACAACATCGATATTTCGATTACTTTAGCAATTTTACATGTATCAAAACTTGCTTGTTGATGAGTCACGTTGGTCTTTTCTTGCGTCTTTGATTGTAAACCGAAGAATCTTCATTTTCTTTGAACTTTTCAGTTATTCTCTTTATTCTCCGCAGTTATATTAAAAAACACAAAATTTTATATGCAAAAGTAAATTTTGACCTTACCTAAATTAGATTCAGAAAAATCCTTGTCCAGTTTACATTACGAAATACAAAATTTTATATATGAAAGTAAAATTCTATACTTTGCTTGAATTAAATTTAGAAAAGCTTCGGCCCAATTATATTATAAAATACAAAATTTTATACAGAAGAGTATAAAACTCTATCTTACCCGAATTAGAGATTCAGAAAAATTTCTATTCAGTTTATATCAGAGAGACAAGATTTTACATGCAAGTAAAATTCTATACTTCACTTGTAAATTAAATTCAGAAAAACTTCATCCATGTTACGTTACAAAATGCAAAACTTCACACGAAAATAAAATCATATCTTTCACTTAACTTACAAAAATACGGAAAAAGATCCCATCGACGGACAATACACGCGCCACCGATGAAAATTTCCCACTTTCCTCCTACCGCCGACCAATTACTCCACCGACAACCTTCATCTCCCCAGGCTTCATCATGTACTTCTACTACGGCATCAAGCACAGCAGCTTGGAGGAGGCGAACGCGTCAGAGAACGTCGACGACGGCGTCGTCGGCGGCACGGCGGGCAATATCGAGCTGACCGTAACCGACCACCAGCGGCAGCAGGTCCAACAGAAGCTGTATGTGACGCCTGACCGCAGCATCTACGAGGGCCAACAGCTGGACGCGTTCGGCCAGCCGGTCTTCGGTAGCACGAACTTCGGCGGCACGCCGAACCAGCAGGCCACCCATCAGCAGCAACAGCAACAGCAGCAGCAGCAGCAGCAGCAGCAGCAGCAGCAGCAGCAGCAGCAGCAGCAGCAGCAGCAGAAGCAGCAGAGGCAGCAGGCAGCAGGCCGCATCGACCAAACGACGACGAACACCCTGTTCATTGATCAGGACAACTTCCCCACCTGGGACGATTGAGCGCGCCATCATGGCGCGGCATCGAGCGGATATTAACGTATATACGAATAGGGAGAGAGATACTACTACGCCTGACACGTTCGCGCGCGCGACTGGCATCGGACGATTACCGGTGAAACCAGACCCTTCGGAGATCGCGCGCTGGGGGGAAGGGTCAAGGGCGGGAGAGGTCGAGGACGAGCCGCGAGGAGCTTCGACGACGGACGATCGAGGGTGGAACATGCTCTGAATCTGGAAAACGCGAGAATTCGGCCGAGATAAGTCGGACAGTTCCGCCCACATTCGCAGAAACAATTTTGCTTCACTGTTGACCGGATGTTTAGCGGATTATCCGACGGATCGCTCGGGGCTTGTCAGAAGAGGCAAGCGAGGAGGGAGGAACTCGAGCCCGACTCGAAGTTGAATATCGTGCGTGAAATACCGGCCGCTGGATCCGTCGGACTTTCTCTCTCTCTCTCTCTCTCTCTCTCTTTCCTTTTTTCTTTTCCCTTTCTCGACGTCCTTCCCGGCGCATCTTGCACTTTCGTCTCGTTTGGAGAAGGTACGCGGAAAACTTGTGCTAATATTTCCGTAATCTCATTGGCGTCGGGGAACAGCTTTATCTCCTTCGAGCAAGCGAGTGAGAGTTTCTTGTCCGTTTACAATTCCCGTCTAGTCCGGTTGAGTTTCGCGCGTTGGTTGCGCGCGAGTTTGTGCAAACACTCGGGAGGAAGTCGACCGCGAAGACGATGTCGTTGCTTCTGTTGCTGCTGTTGCTGCTACCGCCGTCGCCGCTCGCCCTCGATCGTTCGCGTCCCTCGCACGAAGCACGCGCGACGAGATCCTCGGGAAAATTTGATCGGTGCGACGTCAGCGAGCGAAATGGTAGGGGATTAGACGAGATCCGCGATTCTCCGAGGGTCGAACTTGTTGACTACTATTTGGGACAAATGTAGCAAATAATTTTGCGGCAATATTTATTATCCTAGTTATATAGTACTGTCGTTGACGAGAAGTCGCGAAAGGAGGCGCGGCGGTTGGGAGGGAGGGGGGGGTGATGGGTGGGAAGCAGAAGGGGTTGAAGGGTGAACGATGGACACGCGCGGTGGGAGAAGATGAAGAGACCATTACCATTAATAGTATAAGGCGAAACTTGTGTTTTCCAAGAGAGCGTTCTAACTGCTAATATAAGTTCAAATTTATCGCTAGCCTGTGAATGGTGAACGAATGCGTGATGCGAGTGACAGTGTTGTCGGAGGTAAAAGGGTGACTGAAGAACACACGAGAGAAAGAAAAAGCGCGTGCGCGCGCGATAGAGAGAGAGGGAAAGAGAGAGAGAGAGAGAAAGAGAGAGAGAGAGAGAGAGAGCAAGCGAAAGAAAAAAAAAAAGAAAGAAAAAAGGCAAAAGAGGAGGAGGAGGAGGAGGAAGGTATGTCTGAGGAAATAGCAAACAAGCAGAGAGAGAGAGAGAGGGAGAGAGAGAGAAAGAGAGAGAGAGAAAGAAAGAGAAAGAGAGCATGTTCGAGTGAGTCCGTAGAAAAGAACACTTTAATGAAAAACAAAAAAATGAGACGTCATCTTGCCTAACTTTAGTCTTTCCCAAAAGAGAAAAAAAAAAGAAGTTTAGTCTAACATATATTATAATCGTATATCTAAGCTTATTACGATACTTACATACGTCTTACCTCGAGTAAACCCTTTGATTATTAATTTACACGCAATTTGTATAAATTATCTAGGACTTAAGCGCGTCGCCTCCCAACGGACGGTGGATTCAAGTGAGTACGACTAATTCGGTTTGAGACTAATTCGGCTCACCGCGGCGGGAAGGGATAGACGTGTTAAAAAAGAGAAAGATGAAAGAGGATCGACGAGAGAATTTCTTTTGCGGCGGAAGGTCGCGATTGAACTCGGGGATAATAATCGCGGATTCGAAATTGTCAAACTTCCTTCCACGAATTCCTAGAATTAGTTATCTTGACAGTCGACAGAAATTAATTCCTTGCGCGGAGAATTAATGTATAAATCCATATGTGTGTGTGTGTGTATATATATATATATATATATACATGCATGTATTGCGAGAGGTAAAATTTCCGAGACAGGGACGGAGCAAAAAATCCGACGGTCGATTCTGGAAGACCGGACGAGCTTCGGGACGGTCTCGGACGTGATTTAATTTTGCGGGGACGAAGTTTCTCGGTCGATCGATTTTTTTGATTCGTTTATCTCTCACGGGGACGGATTAACGGACGGACGGCTAGGGGAGACGTAGCGAGATAAGATTTCGTTTTCGTGTACATATCTTCGGTGTTTCGAGACAAACCGTTCTTCTCCACGTATGTGCACAAGTCCGTTGTGCTTCTCTGTCCGCTAGTGTGTTCCGCGCGATGAATCGAGGGTAGCCTTCAATTCTCCCGAGTAATTAAGGTCGGAAAGATGCACGCCCGTGTCTCCGATGCGAGCGGATGCATGTGCGCTAGCTAGCTAGCGATTATTTATTCACGGCGTGAGAGTCGGGAGCAATCGTCTCTAATTAGCTCTAGCCGATCTAATTCAATTGCGTTGGTAACGAAACGAGCGGGAATACGCGCGAGAATACCGCCTCGCGTAATCGCTGCGATCACACTCGCCATTAACGCTCCGTGCCGGTGTCGTTGCTTCATGTTCACCGATGCCAGTTCCGCTTGTCGATTCGTATGCGTCGGATAAAAATCAATCTCGCGCACCTCGCCAGCCATTCTCAGCTGAGGATATTTTGCATAAGTTCCGGGAAGACGACGGGGGCGCGCGCGCACGCGCGACATGCGAACGTGATGAAACGCGTACAAAAACGGTGTACAACGCAATGTTTATCGATCCGCGACACCGCGATCGAGCGATGCGGGCGACGGGAGGCGCGCGCGATTCGTCATCGGGAATTTGTCGCGAGGATGAATCACGTCGTAAAGCGCGCCTCGAGAGTCAGCCGCGCGGCAGAAATACGACCGTGACACGAATCGTCTCCATAAAAGCCCGAGATCTCTGATCCCTAAAATTCTTAGATCTTGAGAAATGTCCTGGATTTTTATCACGAAGGATCACTGCTCTCTCGCTCTATATCTCACTTATTTCTTAAACAGTTCTTATTTATTTTTTATCCGGCTCTCAATCATTGTCTTCTTATTTATTCTTTATTTCTCAACTACGATTCTTATTTACTTTCTGTTTGCTTTTATTTCTCAACCAAAATTTTTACTCATTTCGTCTTATATATTTTTTTCTTCCTTAATTTATTTTCACCTCGAACACTGAGAACAATTGCTCTCCTATCGTAATCGCGCTCGTAACGGAGACGCGCGCCGTGCATGCTATTCGACTATTCGATCGTGCATCTTCCAGAGCGTCGACGCGATGCGTCGATCGCTTGAACGGGCGAGAGATCGTTGGCAGGTACCGACGAGATCGCCCGCGAAATCGCTTTCGCGAATTATATTTCTTCTCGTGTCTGCTTTACTTTCGTCCAGCTGCTCCGCCACATTACCTCGTCATCGCCGTGCGGAAATCGCCCCGCGACTCTCTCGGAATTATCGTCGTCCGACGTCTCTCTTTCTCACGTGGACGGAATTCGATGATACGCTCGATCGGAACTAGCGACGCGTCTAACAAAGTTGCGTCGCAGCCGAGGGGGAACGGCGATTGAATGTAAATCGTCGTCGATTAGTTGCCTCCGATGGAGTACTTATCGTTCGATTGAACGCCGACGGAGAACCCGTCGGGAAATCAATTCGTTGCACAATAACCGTTCATCGTTTCAGGGTTCTGTCTGCCGCTGATGGATTTTTCGAGAAAAATCAAATTTTCCGTCGCTCAATCCCCACGCGGAATTTCTCCCCCACTGTGGGGGGGGGGAGAAACTTCAGCTTGCGCAGCGGGATGAGAGCCGGACGGAAACTCGGTGACGAGAAACAATATCTCCGTTGCCGCGATCGTAAACGTTTGCCTGAACATCCGGTCGCATTGAAACTCGATTAAGATAATTAAGATCAATTAACATAGTGAGTTCGATTAATTAATAGCAACTTCCTGCAGAAATTTTTCTCTCTTCGCAGCTGAGTTCTCATCTAATTCTCAGGCAAAAGGAAATCCAGTCCATTAACAGACTTTGTTTTTTTTTCCGTGCGCAATCTTCTTCACTAGCTAGGATTGATCATCTGATCCGAAGTATGCAAGAGTAAGTGTATATTTTTGCAGGGTTGGGGAAGTTAATCTTTAAAACTATCTTATTACCGTTACTCTCTCGTTCGCCAACGCAGTAATAGTTATCGTTAACCGTTGCGGTTGTTTAACAATTGATAATTCGTTACAGTACATCTGTTACTTCGAGGAATAATTTGTTACCGTTATCGTTACTCATAGACGAGTCGTTGCAAACTCTGTTATTTCCCTCGTTAAATTTTCAACTCTTTTACGATTTTCGCTGTCCATCCCATGTACGTGCACAGAGAGAACGATTTAATTGAATCTAACAAATGCTTATTTGGAATAGTCGAAATGAATTTTTTGATTGATCGAACAAAATTTTGTTTGACGCAGCAAAAACATTTCGTTGGAACCAAGCTGCGACAAAATATTTTTGTTGCGTCAAATAAAACTTCGTTCGATCAATCAAAACATTTATTTGGACCATTTCAAATAAGCATTTGTTAAATTCAAGTAAATCGTTCTCTCTGTGTACACTCTTCGCGTGCGAAAAGAAGACGACAAAAGTAACAAAGGTAACGCTCGTTACTTTCGTCCAAAAAGTACAACTGCCTCATCGTTGCCGTTATTAACGTTGTTGAAAAGAAAAACCGAAAAAAGAAACAGTTTGTAGCTGTAACAGCGCTATAAGTAACGCGTCGCTTCTCAGCTTTGTACTGTCGGCCAGCGTCATTGCAGCATTTTCTTTGCGACGTTTCGCCGATCCTCGCGACTACCAAGGGTCGCCGTGGCGCGCCAAGGGCTTGATTTCCCGATCGAAGTCTCTCGAGAGAAACGTTCCGCTGAGCGATAATTCGCTCCAGAGCCGGCGTTCGCGCGATCCTCTGCCATCGTCGCGAGTCCACGTGGGAATCCCGAGTGTGCGATCGAGAGAACGCGACGAGAGGACTCGACTCTCGCGGAAACCGCGAAAGCCGCAATTCCCAGCAACGATTCGCGCGATGCGTGTGTACCCGGGCTGTGATCCATATTGTCGCGTTCTCGTGGACGTCGCGCCGTCGCGCGAGTCCAACACGGCGACGGCGACGGCAACGACGAGCCGGTCGGTCGTTTCGCGTGTCAAGCCTGGTATACAAATTGCTTTGAGGATCAAAAGGAGAGATACTCGACACGCTACAGGGGCTTTATACGTCGTCTCGCTTTTTATTCTCTACATATCGATCGGTGATCCTTTCACATATCAGTCTGCGCATCCGCGACGAGCCTCGCGGAACGTTACACGCGCGCGATTGTACTCAGCTGTGCCCTACGTCGCATGTTTACGCGAAAGACGTTTCGATTATACGTAGAATAATTTCTTACACGATTACACAAGACTGTTCGATTTTTTAGACGCGACGGCGGTATACATAAAACACACACACACACACAGACACATAGTATGGCGAAAGATTCGCATCTGTGCTCCATGCAAGAAAAAACGCCTGCGGTATCAACTTGAAACTCATTCCCGGGATCGAATTTGAGAACGAGAACTTTTGTGTCCGTTTTACTGAGAACCTGCCTTTTATTTCGCACGTTGCAACTCCGTCGGCCGAATTGATCTAATCAGAATTCGAAGAAAGTTAGCCTAAGCCTCCAGTTAAAAGGACATCGTCTCCAATGAGCCCGAACAATCTATTCGACATTCAGCAGAGGCGCGAATTGTACGCTTACCATATAACTCGTAATGTATTTGTTCCTTTCCTTTCCGTCTTGATCCTCCGAACCCTGTAATAATGTCGCGGATATCGTGGGAAGCGTTCAGTCGCATCGAGTCACCGTGGCGACGTTGTGACAACTTTGAGACTGTCAGACACG